TATCTTTCTTGATTCATTTATCTTAGCCTCTCAATCTTCTTCTTCTTCTTACCTCCTTGTTGTTAAGTGCCATCAAGTCCATTCTGATTCTTAGAGATACTGTAGAGGGTTGCCGAGGAGCAGCTGGTGGGTTTGAATTGCCAACCTTGTGATTAGCAGTCCAGGGCTTATCATACAGTGCCTAGTCTATGTATTTCTCCCTCTCATGCTCAGTTTGGTGAGTAGAGATACCCCTGGGTGTTTCAAAAGTAGTGGCAGTAGTTGGTCATTTTTTCCCCACCCCAAGCCCTGCTTATATGCAGACAATCGTTACATTTCCAAGAAACACCAGGGAAGCCTCACAGCACTATTTAACTTTCTCTGTCCCCATCTGTAATATAGGGACGATGGTGCCCAATCCTCATGTGAGACTGGACAAACTCCAGAGGCAAAGTAAGCACAAAAAGTCCAGCACATCAAAACACTACTTTTAATTTAACTATAGGGAAGTCATTGTAGTTACCTTGTTATCCTTTTAGCCATTGAAGTTTAATGTTGTTAGCTACAACTCACAGAGACCTTTACTATAATAGAATGAAACACTGCCCAGTTCTGTGCCACTTTCATTGTCATTTGAGTCTACAGTTGTGGTTATTGTGTCAACACATCTCATTAAAGGTTTCCCTCCTTTGTTGACCCTGTACTTTACCACATGATATCCATCTCTGCCAATAAGTCTTTCTTAGTGACTTGATTAAAGTAAGCAAGCTGAGGGTCCTTGCCCTCACTTCTTAGGAATATTCTGGTTATGTTTCTTCTAAGACTGCTCTGCTCATATTTAAAGAGGAGTATCCGTGGAGTCTCTCATATCTCATATTCTGTCACACTCAGCAGTGGCTAAATATTTGTATTTTGTTTTCAGGGAAAGTCCTGGTCAGTAGCGAAATGGGCATCAGCCGGTCAGCAGTGCTGGTGGTCGCCTATCTGATGATCTTCCACAACATGGCCATCCTGGAGGCCTTGATGACCGTGCGCAAGAAGCGGGCCATTCAACCCAATGATGGCTTCCTGAAGCAGCTGCGTGAACTCAACGAAAAGCTGATGGAGGAGAGAGAAGAGGACGATGGCAGGGAGGGGAAAGCGGATGAGGTTGAGGGGGGCAGTGAGGAGGGTAGCACGCTGGGAGCCAGAGTGCATGCCTTCACTGTGGAGGAGGAGGATGACTCCACCAGCCGCCTAAGTGGTTCCTCCGTGGGAAAGGCCAGCAGGGTCTCCAAGCCCCTCACCCTCATTGATGAGGAGGAGGAGGAGAGGCTGTATGAAGAGTGGAAGAAGGGGCATGGCCTCCCCACCGGCACAGTCCCTCAGGGTAGAGACAGCTGGCGCTCAGCCTCCTCTGGCCAGAGAGGGGAGGAATCTGAGGATGAAGATGTGGAGAGCATCATCCGGGAGTGGCAGAGCCGAAATGAACGGTACCAGGCAGAACAGCACCAGAGCTGGGGCAGGGAGGAGGAAGAGGAAGAGAGTGCCACTGGCTCCTTCGTGGGAAGAAGGCGGAGACACACCCTGAGTGAGAGCAGCACCTCAGAGAGCGTTAGCAGCCATGACATAAGGGTCCTGAAGCAACAGCTGGAGATGAGCAGTCAGAAACGAGCTGGGAGGCATCGTTCTGACTCCGAGTCCACAGAAAGTACCTGGGACATGTGGAACCAGAGGTTGCTAGAGATTGAGAAGGAAGCCTCCCGGAAGTACCACTCCAGGAGCAAGAGAGAGAAGGTGGATGAAAGCTCAGAGGCAGGGAGCAGGGTCCGAGAGGATGATGAGGAGAGTGTGTCCTCGGAGGCCAGCTCCTTCTATAACTTCTGCAGCAGGAACAAGGATAAGCTCACCGCCCTAGAGAGGTGGAAGATCAAGAGAATCCAGTTTGGATTTCACAAAAAAGATTCCGAGGCAAGAGAAGGCAATAGTGACCAAGAAGCAGTGGAGGTAGACGGGGAGAAGAAGAATCTCTCTGACGTTGACCTGACAGCCTACCAGGCCTGGAAGCTGAAACACCAGAAGAAGATAGGCAGTGAGAACAAGGAGGAGGTGGTGGAGCTCAGCAAAAGTGAGGACTCAGTCTTAGCCAAGAAGAGGCAGCGGAGGCTGGAGCTACTAGAGAGGAGCCGGCAGACTCTGGAGGAGAGCCAGTCCATGGGAAGCTGGGACGCAGACAGCTCAGCGGCCAGCGTGAGCATCCCCCTGTCTGCACTGTGGTCGGCGGCCCCCTCCGTCAATGCTGATGGGGACACAGCATCAGTACTCAGCACCCACAGCCCCCGGTCCCACTTGTCTCAAGCTGCAAGCAATATAGGGGGATGCTCTGCCTCCAATGCCACCATACCCCTGCCTAACCTGCCAGTGGGTCCTGGAGACACCATTTCCATTGCCAGTATCCAGAACTGGATTGCCAACGTGGTCAGTGAGACCATTGCCCAGAAGCAGAATGAAATACTACTGCTGTCCCGCTCACCATCTATTGCAAGCCTAAAGGCAGCACCATTGACCAGCTGCTTGGAGGATGACCAAGCCTCTATGCTTAGTAGACAGAGTGGCTCTTCCTCCTGCCTTCGGCCTCAGAACCAGATAAGACCCAGCTCTGACACACAGTCTGTGTTGTCCTCCAACACTACCTTGAGCTCCAGGACTGAGGGCATGGGAAATAAAGTGAAGGGGACCAGCAAGCCTATCTATAGCCTCTTTGCTGACAATATAGACCTGAAGGAACTTGGCAGGAAGGAGAAGGAGATGCAAATGGAGCTGAGGGAGAAGATGTCTGAATACAAAATGGAGAAGCTGGCCTCAGACAACAAACGCAGCTCCCTTTTCAAGAAGAAGAAGGTCAAGGAAGATGAGGATGATGGTGTGGGTGACCAGGAGGAGGACACTGACAGTGCCATAGGGAGCTTCCGATATTCTTCCAATAGTAATTCCCAAAAACCTGACACAGACACCTCCTCCTCCTTGGCTGTCTCTGATTGTTATGGAAATGACAGCAGAGCTGACAAAGAGATGGATCATAGTATTAATAAGTGGCTCAGTGGCCTCAGGACAGGAGAAAAATCGCCTCCCCAAAGTGATTGGTCTGGAAGCTCCAGAGGAAAATACACCAGGTCTTCCATGCTCCGAGAGACAGAGTCTAAATCCTCCAGTTACCAATTCTCCAAGTCCCAGTCAGAGGAGCAGGACACCTCCCGCTACCATGAAGCAAATGGCAACTCTGTCAGGAGCACTTCACGATTCTCTTCTTCCTCCACCAGAGAGGGCAGAGAGACGCACAAGTTCTCCAGGTCAATGTTCAGTGAGACTTCAAGCTCCCGAGAGGAAAGTCCAGAGCCCTACTTCTTCCGCCGAACTCCCGAGCCCTCTGAAGGGGAAGAGTCCCCTGGATCACGACGTCAAAATTGGGCCAGGCCCAGGGACTGGGAAGATGTGGAAGAATCATCCAAATCAGATTTTTCTGAATTTGGAGCCAAAAGGAAGTTCACACAGAGCTTTATGAGGTCTGAAGAGGAAGGAGAAAGACAGAAGATGGAAAACAGAGAAGAAGGGAGGTTTGCTTCAGGGCGGCGGTCCCAGTATCATAGAAGCAATGACAGAGAGGAAGAGGGGGAAATGGATGATGAAGCCATCATTGCTGCTTGGAGACGACGACAAGAAGAAACCCGGACTAAATTGCAGAGAAGGAGGGACGATTAAGCTGGGCAAGGCAGGTCTGGGAGAGATTAACAAAAACCAGAAAGGGTCATACAGTTTAGCACAAGTCTCAGGACACACCTTGCCGTCACTTGTATGAGGTTCAAATGCTGGACCAACTGGCCCCATTTACCTGTTGCCCAGTGCCTTGTAAGTTTCAATACTTCATTTACATATGTGGTAGTGTTCCTCGTAGACTAGAGAGGGAAGTTTGGAAAGGTATTGTAGTTTGTTGGTAAACTCCAGCTTACATCCAGGAAGACCATCCGCAGGACATGGTTCTGTTTGTACAAGTTTTGTAGTTTTATAATAAGACCCAATAAATCTCTTGTGGCAAGTTTAACCTCTCCTGGCAATGCTAAGTTTTGGTTGTTTCTTTTGAATGTTTTGGATTTCCATTAAATTGGTATATTGTCAAATATTTCTTTTTCATTCTGGTCACTTTTAAATCTGGAAATTAGGGGAAATCCACTCTCGATGAGTTGTCTTGTTCAACAAAAGCTATGCCTCCAGACAACACAATCATCAAAATCATCTCTCTATCAAAAATAATAATCAAGTATTTTGGGTCTGATAAAATGCAGTAGGGGAATATAATAATAGTAAAGCCCTTGAGAATAACCAAGGGAATTAGAGAAAGAGGGAACATGTTTTATTGTTGTGAGAATGGCAAGATATAACACAGAGACAGGATTCCTCTGGAGTAGCAGGAAAAAAAGGAAGAAAAAAAAACCATGCTGGAGAGAAGAAGCCTAATATAAGGAGACTGTTGTTGCTAAGTGCCATTGAGTCAGATCCCACCTATAGAGACCCTGTTATAGGGTTTCAGAGGAGTGGCTGGTGAGTTTGTACCACTAGCCTTGCAGTTCAAACAAGCTTACAGTCCAGTATTTATCCTACAGCACCACACCAGGACTCCATAATACCAGGAGCTAGAGATGTATAGTTATAAAATTGAGTGGCCACACTTGCTTTCTATTTCCTTGAAGAATCTTTGGATAATGCAGTAGGTCATCCACTTCATTCTTTCTAAAACACCAGATAAGCAAGGTGATGAGAACTCTCTGCCCTTTGTTCTCAAGACATGTCTACCCTCCCAAAACACAGGTTGGGTTGCTGAAACAAGAAGACAGTTTGAGCACCTTACAACAATCATTGATGGACTTGTTGCCATAGTTCCTTTTAAGCAGAAATGCTTAGCAGGATTCAAAAGCACATAGATAGAATTCTACCAAATATTCAGAGAAGAGCTGACACCAATTCTGCTTAAACTATTTCACAACATAGAAAAGGATGGAAAACTCCCAAATTCGTTTTATGAAGTGAATATAATATAACCCTGACACCAAAACCAGGCAAAGCCATCACTAAAAATAAAAATTATAGAACAACATCCCTCATGAATATGAATGCAAAAATTCTCAATAAAACCTTAGCCAATACAATCCAACAACATATAAAATAAAAATAAATACATCATAGCCAAGTGGAATTCATGCCAGGTATGTTCCATACTAGAAAAAAACAATCAACATAATCCTTCACATAAATAAAACAAAGGAAAAGAACTACATGATCATATTGGTTGATATAGAAGAGGCATTTGACAAAATCCAACCCTATCAATTATTTAAAAAAAAAAACAAACAACACTCAGCAAAATCGGATAGAAGGGAAAGTCCTCAATATAATTAAGGGTATATGACTGCGAACCACAAGGTTGGCAGTTCAAACCCACCAGCTGCTCCTTGAAAACCCTAAACAGGGTCGCTATGAGTTGGACCCTACTCAACAGCACTTAACAACAGTAACATACAAAACCAATGACCAACATTACTCTCAGTGGAGCAAAACTGAAACCATTCCCCTTGTGGACAGGAGCCAGACAAGGATACTTTTTTTTTTTAAATCACTATTTTATCACTATTGTGCAGGAAGTCTTAGCCAGAGCTAAAAGGAAAGAAAGGGAAATTAAAGGCCTCCAAATTGGAAAACAAGAAGTAAAACTCTTCTTTTGGATGTGATATGATCCTACACGTAAAAAATTCCAAAGACATTAAGTGAGGAAGACACAGTCTCTTCAATAATGTTGCTAGTAAAACTGGAAATTCATTTACAGAAGAATGAAACAATCCCCATATCTCACACCACATGCAAAAATGAACTGATTGTGAATTAAAGAACTAAATATAAAGCCTAGAACTATAAAGATCATCAATGAAAAAATAGGGACAAACTTAGGGGCTCTGATATATGACATTAATATACTATCAAACATAACTGAAAATACACAAATAGTAGAAGACAGCATAGATGACTGGGATCTCCTAAAAGTTAAACACATCTGAGCATCAAAAAACTTCACCAAAGAGTCAAAAGAGAACCCACAGACTGGAAAAAAATTTTTGGTAATGGCAAATCAGACAAATGTCTAATCTCTAAAATTTTTACAAAACTTCAACATCTTAACCAGAAAAAGACAAAGAATCCATTTTAAAAATTGGCAGAGGACACGAACAGACATTTCACCAAAGAAGGCATTCAGGTATATGAAGAAATGCTCATTTTTAAGTGCTGTCAAGTGGGTTCCTATTCATAGTGACCCTGTATAGTGTTTCTGAGGACTGGCTGGTGGATTTGAATCACCCATCTTGTGGTTCAAGCTGACTTTGAAGTCCAGTGCTTTGTCCTACAGTGCCACACCACAACTCCATTGTTGTTGTTGTTGTGAAGTGCTGTCGAGTCGGTTCCGACCCATAGCAACCCTGTATAGGGTTTCCAAGGAGCACCTGGTGAGCTTGAACTGCCAACCTTGCCGTTCAAATGGCTTTCCAGTCTGGCACATTAACCCACAGTGCCACACCAGGACTCCAGAACTCCATTAGAGAGATGCAAATTAAAACAACAATGAAATATCATCTCACCCCAGCAAAAAAAAAACCACATATACACAGGAAACAGTAAAGGCTAGCAGGGATGTGGAGAGACTGTGATCCTCATGTACTGCTAATGGGACTGTAAAATGGTACAACAAATGTGGAAAATGGTATGGTACTTCCTCAAAAAGTTGTATATAGAAATACCATATGACCCTGCAATCCCTCTACTTGGTATACATCCCCAAAAAATAGGAACCAGGACATGAGTAGATACATGCATACCAGTGTTCACTGTAGCACTATTCACAGCCTAAATGCCCTAAATGGAGACAGCCTAAATGTCCATCAGTGGAAGAAGAGATAAATAAACTTTGGCACATACATGCAATGGAATATTATGCAATGTTGAAGACTAATGATGAAGCTGTGAAACACCTCAGAACATGGTTAAATCTGGAGGACATTGTTGTTGTGTGCCATCAAGCTGGTTCTGACTCATTGCAACCCTATATAAGGTGTCCAAGGCTATAAATCTTTACAGAAATCCTCATCTTTCTCCCATGGAGTGACTAGTGGATTTGAACTTCTGACAATGCAATTTATCAACCCAGTGTGTAACCCACTATGCGATATTTTGCTGAGTAAAATTAGTGTATATATATATATATGTTGTTGTTGTTGTTGTTAAGTGCCGTTGAGTCGGTTCCGACCCATAGCGACCCTGTACAGGGTTTCCGAAGGTATAAATCTTTACGGGAGTAGAAAGCCTCATCTTTCTCCCGCGGAGTGGCTGGTAGTTTCGAACCGCTGACCTTAAGGTTCGCAGCCTGATTCGTAACCACTACGCTACCAGAGCATATATATATATATAGCATGACACCACTATTGTAAAAACTCAAAAAAAGTTGTCATGCTAAAAGAAGCATTATTTGATGGTTGCCAGGGGTGGGAAGGAAGGGAGAGTAATTCACTGGCTAGAGGATAGTTATGAGTTGACTTGGGTGACAGGAAAGTCAATACACAAGAGGGAGGTTGGCAGAAGAAGGATGAAGCCTAGAGAAATGCAATAGTTAAAGGGAATAGAGGTCAATACTGTCATATACATAATCCCACAACAACAGTGATCTATGGGTAGATTCTTGGATAGATTCCCAGGATGAACTGGTGTGGGAGGGAGAGTGGGTGTATACCAACACATTATGCAGGTTTATCAGAGGATATTTGCACAAAGATATTTACCTTTGCTGCAAGCATATCCATGAATGTGGTGGCACATACATGGGGCAAAATTATGAAAACTTCTTAGACATTACCAAACACCTTGAAGGAATGAATTGCTGGGCCTGGGGGCTCAGGACCTTAATCTTGGTGGAAACCATTGTCAATTGGCACAACAGAGTCCACAGAGACAATATTCTAGCTCCTACTCTTGTGAGTAGCAACCGGGATCTTAAAAGCTCATGAGCAGTCATCTAAGGTACAACTATTGGGTTTCTTCCTGTGTGGAGGAAAGAAAAGTGATGAAAATGAAAACTGCTTGGATTCAATTAGACTAATGAAACAGGTGAACATCAGTCTCCATAATCCTGAGACAAAGACAACCACTACCAAATGCACTGAAAGGATCTATTAGAAGGTCCTGGATAGTGTGGGAGAAAATGTGGAACAAAACTCAATAATAATAATAATAATAATAATAATAATAATAATAATAATAAAAGACCAGGCTTACTGGTCAGAAAAAGACCAGAGAAACCCAAGCCTATGGCCCATAGTCATACTTCAGGTCTAGAGCTGAACTCATCCTTATGGCTCAATTTTCAGCCAACCACTAGCTAGTTATACAGGGGAGACAACATTACTGGGGAGGTATGCACACCATGGAATGCTCAACCATTCAAGATCAAAAGGGCAGCATTTACCTAAGGACAGAATTCAGAAGGGTTGAGAAAGAAGGAGGAAGGAAAACAAGAATCCCAGGGAGGAACTGGAATAAGTGATGTTACATTGAAGGAATTGCAGTCACTGAAACGAAACCCATGCGAGTAAAGTTTTACTAAAGGTAATACAGAAATGGCTGCAAGCATACATTGACAGAGAACTTCCAGAGGTTCAAGCCAGATT